AATGCCTGACTGTGTGGTGCTGCAGATGTGTTTTGCGGCACTACCTACCGCACGGCCACGCTCGTCTGGATGTGACTTATGATGCCAATTTGGTGAGCCCATTCAGACCTGCTGTCCTTTAGTATCTCATTGTAAGGTGTCACATATACGTGTCACGTCATATAAGAAGAAAGTAATGAGGTACAGATTACTCATCACATATCTTAAGGTTTCTTTTCTAGTATTAAGAAAAGGATATTGTAGGACTTTAAATGCAGCTTAGTTATAAAATTCTTTCTCTAATTTTGCCTTATGTCATATAAAAGAACGATCCTGTTAGTGGTCCCCATTGCAGTGTTTTTCTGGGTGAGGCCCTTTTAAAAATAGATTTATTAGCTTTTTGTATGATCTACTTTAACAAATGAGTCAGCAGAGCAGTTCAAGATGACCTTCAACTATATCCATGAAATGTGAGTCAAGTGTTCTGAGTGAGTTTGTCAATATATTTCACAGAGAACATATTTCAAAGATAGCTGATATAAAAAATGGGGATTTAGTGTCTGTGTGTAACTGTCTATATATAATATGTTAATATCTGTTTAACAATAAATGTGTTATAGATGCAGCATATCTTTCTGTGAGAGGCATTAGATGGAGCAGAGCAGCTTCTTTATTATGGTATCATAGACACAGATATTATTTATCCTTGAACATTTTTAAAACATAGTAAGTTCTTTGTTCTGTTACTTTTTTTAGTTGAAAAGGAGTAGAGCTAATAAAAATAAATGTACTAGAAGAAATTCCTAAAAGCAATGAACAGAAACAATGATATTACAAAAAATGTACTTTATTACATAATGGATTTATAGAAAATATGAGAACTGAAGCACTTTCCCAACATGATGTGATAAATTGCTGTTGAAAATGCTTGGTTTTGGTTTTCTCTATGATAGCTGCTTTTTTTTTCGACCTCCACCAGTGAGTCTGCAATAATAATAGGATTTCTAGAGTGTTTGACTTCCCATTAGTAATCTTGTATTTATACATTAAATTCTTCTTTGTTTTAGGATAGTTTTATACCATAGCCTACTCTAATTTGGTGTAAACTACTGTTGGAGGGTAACCTCTGTGCTGGCACAGGGCAGTGTTTATGGCTAGGTACAGACAGGAAAAATGCCCAAGGCTCAGTGGATTCAATATTTGCAGAGTAGTCTAAACTGCACAGATTAAATTGAAACAGAAGTGAACAGATATTTTCCTTTGATTCAGGAAATGCAGCCACATACGTGCAGTAGCTCAGGCCAGAAGCCGTGGGACACTACAGCACAGCTCTCTGGCTGTGTGTTCACTTCCTCTTGCTCCTGCCCCCAAGGTCCCTGGGATTCGCAGTCCAGAATTACAGCAGCAGGACTCTGCAGGGTTGCTTATCACTTTCTCTTCCTGCTTCCGGGTACCTTTGGGATTTCCACAGTTGTAGCCAGCAATAAGTTTGAGCAGGATGTGACAAAGTGGGGTTCCCCGACTAGCCACTATGCTAGTTTCCCCACCTGCTTTTGTGCATGCCACCCACCTGTCTCACCTTGTTATTCATTAATTAAGTTGTTAATTAAGGCGGGAGGCTACTCATTCTTGCCCCGATGCCAGGGGGTGCTATCTGCGGTTCTGTTCCCCTACACTGGAGCCCAAGCCTTGCAGATGGCATCCAGATGACAGTGCTTACAGCCAGACCATGCTTGGGCTTGTTGTCAGGTCTCAGACGTACACACATTAAATTTTTCTCTGTTTTAGGATAGTTTTACACCATAGCCTACTCTAATTTGGTGTAAATTACTGTCGGAGGGTAACCTCTGTGCTGGCACAGGGCAGTGTTTACGGCTAGGTACAGACAGGCAAAGCCTCCTCTCGCTAGGGCCTCTCACACTCCACCACCTCTCACTGTCTTTCACACCTCAACAACTCGTACTGCCTTGCTCCCTCTTGGAGTGGGCCCCTTAGGCCATAGGCTTTAGCTAGCTCATACCTTGGGTGGCAGATGTACCGTCTTTTGGACCTCTCCCGTGACCCTCATTGGGGTAGCGGCCAGCCAATACCTGACCAGATCTAACCTTGCCCTGGCCCTTCCAGGGCAACTCTATACAGACTCACACATGCTGGGCTCCCAGCCCTCTGGTTTTCCCCTGACTGGGGCTCCTCATCTCCACCCACTCACTGGGGCTCCACACCACCCCCTCACTGGTGGGCTCAGGTGGCCATAGCTGTGCCTGGCCCCAACTACCTTTCCTCAGGGTCCTACACCCCACAGGGCTCAGGTGGCTGCAGCTGTGCCTGGTCCCAACTACCTCCAAAGTTATGTGACCCACCTGAAGGTGAGGGCTGGGGTTAAGGCACCCGCTACTCGCCTTTCACCAGGATGGTAACTGGCCTGGCATTTTCTGGGGGCTCCTGCATCACTGAGAGCCCCACCAGGTCACCCACTCCCAGCAGGGTGCAGTTTTAGGTCAGGTGTATTATGCCTCTTTCTAACATCACCTCTGTCTTGTCTCTTATCTGCCCCTGGAGTTGGTGTGAGATCCGCCTCCAGTTTTGCCGGGTCACCTGGCCTGGAGGGGTCTTTATTCGATGCATTATGCCCCAAGGTTCCCAGGGTACCTCTTGGAACACGTCTCCATACTCATTTCGCTAGTTCCATTGCCTGTCGCCTCTGTTCTTCTGATAGTCGTGGGGTCACTTCACTTCTCCCATTCCCTTCCTTCAGGGAGGGTCCCAGTTCCAGTTCATCCAGTTGAGGGGCCAAATATAGGTCCTCTCATTCTTGCCATGGCTTCCGCATGTTAACATGGTATACTTGTTTTTTCTTTTGTCTGTCTGGCTGATGTACTTCATAATATACAGGCCCCACTTGGCATATGATTTCATAGGGTCCTGGCCATCGTGCAAGTAACTTACTCTCTTGGTCAGGTAAGAGAACCAATATGCAGTCTCCCAACTCAAATTTCCTTTCTCAGCCCCCTCTATTGTAATAGGTTGTTTGTTGCCTTTGGGCCTCCCTAAGATTTCCTAAAGCTTCGTGCCACCTCTAGGCGCTCCCTCAGTTGCGTCACACATTGAACCAGGTTCTTGTCTTTACTTTGTTGCTCTTCCCAACTTTCCTTAATCATAGTTTCATAGTTGGTAGGGTCAGAAGGGACCTGAGCAGATCATCTAGTCCGACCTCCTGCCATGGCAGGAAAGAGTACTGGGGTCAAATGACCCCGGTAAGGTGTTCATCTAAGTCTCCTCTTAAAGACCCCCAGGGTAGGTGCCAGCACCACTTCTCTCAAATCAAGGATTCCCCTTGGTTGCCATCCGTATAATAGTTCAAAGCAAGAAAATCCTGTTGAGGCTTGGGGTGCCTCTCTTACCACAAATAACAAGGGCAGTAACAGTTTCATAGATTTCATAGACATTAGGGCTGGAAGGGACCTCAGAAGATCGAGTCCAGCCCCCTGCCCAAAGGGCAGGGAGTCAGCTGGGGTCATAGGATCCCAGCAAGATAAGCATCCAATTTACTCTTGAAGGTGTTCAATGTAGGTGCTTGAACCACCTCTGATGGCAAGCTGTTCCAGACCTTGGGGGCTCAGACAGTAAAGAAATTCTTGCTTATGTCCAGCCTGAAACGGTCTTGCAGTAGTTTATGAC